TTTGGAAATTTCACCAATCAAGCTCGATTTAATAGAATGAAGCAAGTTGATTCGTTCGAATATGTTCGTTGTCGAGAAACCCGAGAAACCCGAGGAAGAAATGATTAAATTTTGATCGCGCCGCGCCGATGGGATTCGATTTTAAGAGAAGAACAGAGGAGCAATCGTGATAGCAGTGTTTCATAAAAAGCGTTTTTCATCACGCGAATCCTTTCAGTTTGATTAACATCGGAACACTTGGACGTAGTAATTTTACTAGCTGGTGCAGATGTCGTTATAGTGGACGATAAAAAAGAACATGATCATTATTGCTGCACGCTATAAAGTACAATGTAGAATTTTTCGACGTGTATACGTATTATGATATAAAGAAACGAAAATGAAATATAATTTAATTTTGAAATTATTTTTTTAGAAACTTTTTCACTTTTTCACTTTTTATTTAAGAAATAAAGATAAATTGATAGGAGTGGTAGGTTGTTTAGGTGCCTCTACCTGTGCAAATGAAACTCGACTCGCTTCGTACCGTTCACTAACCGCACACGATGGAACCTGCTACCATATATTCTGGATACGTTGCTTGCCACGTCCGACGTCCAACTTTTCAGTTTCGACAAAGAATATCGAGTGACATTATTAAAAGAAACAGTAGTATCACCGACCAACGTAGATAAATACAATACAAGAAATCTCTGCGAAATATCTTCGATTTACGATTTACGATTTACGATTTACGATTTACGATTTACGATTTACGATTAGAATAGGTAAGCTTAACTATTTGATTATCGTGTCGTCCGACAGCTACGTAAGTAGGTAAGACCTGACTCTCTGGTTCATCGAGAGGCAAAACTTCCGTGAAGGTGAAACTCTGCGAGAGGGAAGGCCGATGACGAAGAAGAGGGGCACACCTCTGCCTTTCGCTTCCTTCGTATACTGAAACTCCTTTAGTCGCGGTTAGACAACAGTCATCAATGCCTCTACGTTTCTCTTCGGACGACTTTTCTTTTCAATTTTTCTGAAATAATGTTATATAACGGTATATATGTAATAAGGATAAGAACGCGGTGAAAATGGGTATTATGGATGCTTCGAAACTTGAACGATTTCCTCGAGTTCCTGAATGTCCGGCACGGAGTACATAATCGTGATTAAAGTGTGATTAAAGAAACGATATGATGGTGATAAGTGCATTGAAGCATGTCGCGAATGCGGCGACCAATGCGGTTCATTCGGCGACTAATGCCAGCAACACTGGCCACGGCCATGCTAATTCTGGTATGTTTCAAAAACTCCTCTTCCTTATGCTTACTACCTGCAATCTAATTTCTTTACTATGTCGAGTTTCGTACTTATCGTTAATGACCCGATATTTCAAAAAGTATAAAAGTTGAAAGTTGAAATAATCGATCGGTCTTGCGGTTCTTGTTTCTTACCTGATTCGGAGTTCATTTTCGCATTTTCGCATTTTCGCATTTTCGCATTTTCGCGTTTTCACGTTTTCGATTCGCTTCAGGCTGAAAGCATCTCCTACTTAGAACGCTCGATTGTATTCATATTGAAATATCGGTTGCGCAAAATGGAAAAGGTTACATGAAACGGCTTGAGAGCACGATCACGAGCTCTGCTCGATAGAACAACGGAAAGTTCTCTTCTTTCGACAGTTATCGTTAGAGAATAAGATAATTGGTGTCGATTTAAACGCGATCATCTTCTCTAGTAGCTACCTGGATAATCAATTCCATTGGCCAAATGACGATTATCGAACGCGATAATCATTTGTCATTGTACGAATGAATAGATAGAGAAGAAAACTTTAAAAATCGTTGCACTTGTAAATTTTTCAACGTACTGTTTCGTAATATACACAATTTTACGATAAATCTGAACTCTGACTGGAACTTGTAATTACTTGGAATTATTTACTAATTTAGAATAATTTTAATCGAGAAGATATGATCTTTTGCAAGAAGAGAAACGATTCTGCTAGACACCGAACGAATCAACGAACGAACTCATTATACGACCTATTTACCATCACGATCCTGTTTATATCACTACATACATATACGACTATACGAGAACGGAATCGCAACTTTCTTGCCACGCCTAATGTCAAGATCGCTCTTGTGTCTTCGATAACCATTACCTACATTCTTCGTGGAACATATTCCTCTTCTTGGAAACTAATACTGCTGTCACGAATAACTTTTTCCTTCGAATTGATTAGAATCACGAAAATTTCCTTGGAAAAATTCAAGGTGGATGATATTACTACATATTTATACAGTGTATGGTTTATGGAAATTTCTTCCAGTGAAAGTTGCATAGAATATATTTCGTGATACGTGATGTAAATCGAGCAACGACCTATGTACTACATACATATTTTTTATCGTACCTATTAACGTTGATAATTGTTGTTTGCGTGGGGTGATTTCATATTCGATTAATTCAGTGATTTCGTCAAGGCAATTTATAATTATTATATTTCAAAGTCAAATTTCGACCAACGAGTAGAATACTTCCGAGAGTTGTATTAAAATTCAAGGACGGGCCTTGGAATTTTTCCGCGAATCACTACGACCGTTTAAAAATATTCTAATCATTTATTTGACAAAAAGAAAAAAAAAAGGATATATTTTAACTCATTTTTATTCTCATTCTCATTCTCATTCTCATTCTCATTCTCATTCTCATTCTCATTCGCATGATACATGCCCATTTCATACTTTGTCGAGTAGTTTTCTACACAGATTTATTTTTTGTACGAAAAAATAGCGTTAAAGAAGCAATCTTGCGTGGGTTGCTATTTTTTGTAGAAAAGAACGTTCTTTCGTAGAAACGATCCAACGCGAAGAGACTCCGCTTTCATAGAGGAACGTTTCATGCAGAAGTGATTCTTCATGATTCCATCTTTTTTTTTTTCTTTTATAGAGAGCCGCTCTCACGAAAACGATCCGTATAGTTAAATATCAAAGACATATCCGTATAGAAACGATCGTATTTATTTTTTCTAACAAATTTTTTCTCGGGCTGTTGGATCTGAAATTTTAAGTTGAAACAAATGCATTTTTGTGCATCGATGTTTCATAGAAATGCAATTGCATCTTTACTTCCATGAAACTCTATATTTTCTGACAAATAATTATCATTAACAGCTGTTGGTATTTTGCAATCAACCATACGGAAGTGTTACACGATCGTAACGCGTACAAGTGTGTTCTTCTCGCGTACCTACCATCGAACTTTCACTTTTTCCTTTACTACATAGGTACTTACATAGTTTTCTTGTCACGAAATTTTGCCCTTGCGCATAGTGAAATGGAAATATTGTACGCACAGTTTATTCTGGAAAGTTTGAATTTCGTAAATCATATTAAACTTAAAAGTGAACACTATCTAAGGGTTACATACTAGTTAGACTGGTTAGACATATACATTATAAAGCTCGTAACAAAAATAAGAATAAACAATAGCTTGTATTGTCAGGTATTGTCAGGTATTGTCAGGTGTTGTCAGGCATTTTGTCACGCGTTAACAGCTGAAAGGATGCTTCAGCAGGTGGATAATGAGCAGCCTGGAATTGGTAAGAATATTTGAGAAGGCCGTATCGCGTGTATTCGCTCGTTACATGTGCCCTTCGTATTGAAAAATTCACATAAATCGAATTCACATAAACGAGTGTGTTCGAGGCCGAAACTTTCCGACACCGTTTCCGTTGTCCGTGCCTCGTCTTCTCAAACAGCTACCGAATGAATTTCGAAATACGATATCTTCCAGAGGATAGACACTAGACTGTTTTGCTGATTAATTGTAGGTATCTATGTAGTATCGATGTTATTTGTAATAAGCAAATGATTGAAACTAAAGATAAGAGATTATTATTTTGTAGAGAACCCTTGTCGTTATGTTACGGACTGTTGAGCACTAATCAGCACTCTACATATCGAGTATCGTTCGAATCGTTATAATTATTCCAATCAACCGCGAACCAAAAAGCAAGGCAGATATTTCAAATAAAGTTGATTCTAAAACGCTGTGATAAATTCATTACCTAAAGTACTTACATAGAGTCTGCATTAGTTAAGTGATAGTGTGGGACGTTGTTCGACGACCTCGGCTTTTCACCGATACCTTAGTAGAAAGTTTCTTAGTTGAAGAGAGGGTAACAGGCCTTGAAAATGGCAATCAACAGGAGCGACGCGACGTCGCGTTCAAAAGGTGTCATGGACGTGATAAGTGTCGAATTTTCAATGTAATTTTTTAGCCACTTCAAATACATATACCTATAGTCGATTTCATGTCTTACTTATCGTTAATTTATTGTTCACCAATCATGAGTTATCGGTCGAATTAGAACGTGACTTGATATCAACGGAACTTGATGTCACGACCGCGACTTTATTAAAAACCGTCGAGGGACCAAGAAAATATCAGAGAATCGAGCATCTACGTATCGACGACAAGCGACAAGCGGAAATTTATTCTCTCTCGGAAGTATCGACCCTCGTTTCCATCTAGCGGAAAATCTTCTTCCGCTCCTTTCAACTTTCCTCCTTTCTCTGGCTCACGCCTGTACTTTTCTTCTTTCTTTATCGAACGGTTCGAACGGTTCGAACGGTCGCTGCAGTAATTAGCCTTGTTTCGCCGCGCTTAATTACCCTGGAAAAGCACCAGACGCGTTCTTAGAGAATAGCCAGCGAGGAAAAAGTAGGTCGTTCTTGCGAAGAAAGGAGGAAAGACGAGAACAGCGCAATGACAAAAAACTTGATGCAAGTTCACGGTCATGTTTAAAATTCAAAGTTTGTTTTCTTGCTTTTCATTGAAATATCACCTTTTCTAAAGCTTGAAAAATTAGCGCATTAATAGCAATTGCTAATTTATAGGAGTAAAGCAGTTAAGAAGAATCTCGTAAGGCAGATAATCGTGTCATAGGTCGCAACCTCGATCTAATAATTATCTTGGAACGCTATGCAATTGGTGGTGCGGTGACAAGTATAAACTTGGACGATCTGTCTGTTGACGGGTTAGTCGCGATTAAACCGTTTACCAGGTTATTCGCGCGAATATATCGTACACATTATTATCTATAATAATTCGAACGCGAAAATGTTTCGATCCTGCGTATCGATCGTGTTGCTGATGTCGTCGGTGACGATAGCAAGCTCCGAAGAGGAGGCAACGTGTCAGGAAATAAACGGTTACACAGTGTGCCATCGCAAAGGAACCTTACTGCACGTCAGTCAACAAGAATTCGAGGAAAGACTTGAAATTCACGATTTAAACCTGTTGGCGATCCGAGAAAACACCTTTAACAATAATTTAACCACGACTAGACTGAGCTTTGCTCTGGGTAATAAGCTGTCTGTATTGAAACGCGAATCGTTTCGTGGCTTGGATAAGTTGGAAAAGCTCGACTTGGACAGCAACGTGGTAACTTTGTCGGCGAACCTGTTCGCCGAACTTGGACAGCTTCGCTCGTTATCGCTGATCTTTAACAAGATCAAGGATATACCGAAAGATACGTTTGCTGCTCTGTCGAATTTGATGTGGCTCTATTTGGGTCACAACGACATCGAATCGATCGACAAGGAGTCTTTCTCAGGATTGTCCTCCTCTTTGTTGTTCCTCTGGTTGAATGACAATAAAATCAGTAACATCGAGGCTGGTACATTTAACGAAATGCCTGAATTGAGTCGTCTTCACTTGGAAAACAATAAATTGACTACTATACGAGCTGGTAGCTTTCGAGGACTACATAAATTGGACGGCTTGTTTTTGGATCATAATCAACTGACCAGCATCTCGAGGAATGACTTGAAGGGTCTAATTGGTCTAAGGATTTTGTACCTACAGTCGAATGAAATTTCTACGATAGAAGCTGGAGCGTTTTCGCATCTGGAACAGTTAGAACAGCTGGATCTTAGGAAGAACAAATTGATAAGCCTTTATTCGGAAACGTTCGATGGATTGGCTAGTTTGAAGAAATTTGATTTATCCAATAATTTGATCAATTTTGTGGATCCAGGTACGTTTGCTGCACTTTCTGCGTTGAAGACCCTCAATCTTGCCAACAATAATCTGAGCAGTGTCGATAGAAAGAGCTTTGGATTGACTTCTTTGACGATGCTCTACACCTAAGGATATCGTAATATGTACTACCTGAAAGCAGTACCAGTACATACATACAATTGAAACAAAGAATTACGACTATGCATGTATTATATTTTATTTGCTTCTAAATTGAGTGAAATTTTACAAGAAAATTTTCCGTTTTGTAAAACGGAAAATGGTAATAAAAAATGTTGCAGTTGACAATTTTTCTGTTCATCAGTTAAATTATTAACTTTTCGCGTACCATTTTCCAATAACGGTATCTCGTTAATCTTTGTTGCTGACGTTAGATCAAGCAATGTAATAAATTATTCTTCGAATATTTTAATCTTTGATTTATTATTTATAATTTTCTGGAAGATTGGTAGTGTTTTAATATACGAGTATATGTATAAATAAAGTAAGCATTTCAACTTCTGTAAAGTAATAATCGTTATATTAGGGGGAAGGGACATGGGAAAGGTTTCCAAAAGCAAAAGGTGTTTTGCACGGTGAAGAAGGAAAACTTGAGAGAAGTTGAAAGCAAACGGGATGCACCACGGCCCTTTAGAGTCAAAAACGCACGCGGAGAGTACCCAGAAAAGAAAAAGAAAAAGAAAAAGGAAAAGGAAACGCTTTCGCTCGAAAAATCACACAGCGCGTTAACAGAATAGAGGTTGGGATTAAGAAATGTTTGTAGAGAAGGGAAGAAATCTATATTCGAAGGGTGTGGATGCATGTGGTAGGTGGTGGAACTTTTTGAAACGCGACATGTCATCCTTACAATCGAGATTCGATATTTATTACAAGGGGACTGCTAAAGGCGTAGTTTAATCGACGCGACAGGAGCCGATTGAGAACGGTGAAAGTGTACCTTCAAGTACTCGACATTGAAAAATCAGATATTATTATTATTAGAAATGTTGATAAATATTAGATAATTGAAAGAATGGATAATGAAAAATTGTCAATAGGTTTGATCGTAAGACATTGTAGACAGAGGTAGGGAAAATGTTTATAGTAGAAAACATTCTGTACATTTGGATTGCAGGAAAGCAGATACCTAAATACTTGTCTCTCGGTATCTAGTACCGAGGATACTCCGAGCTTGATTCGCAACGGTGCGATACATTGAAATGTTATTCGCTGCTCCAGTCTCTAGAACGTGACTGGAAACGACGAATTAGACCGTTTGAAAAGCGTAAAATTATGTTTGAACGAGGCGTGAATGCGATGTCGATGCTCTCAATCGAGCTTTAAATTGTTTAACATTCATTTGATTGTGGCTTGATGAACCAGACTGGCGAAAGGAAAATGTTTAAGTGCTTTCAAACAGTTACCGAAGGAAATTTTGCTTTTCACCTTCGTAAGTGAATCACCTAAGTAAATTCAAAGTACATATAACAAAAGTTAACTGGTAACCGCTTAGTCGAGGGTTACGTGCTTTCTATTATAGCTACGATTTATTACAGCTCGCGTCGATAGCTGGCTAGATGCAGCCAGTCGAGCCAATTAAATCGAACTTCTGCCGTTGCAGAATCGTGTCGATACCGTAAAAGAGATCCTTTTTAATTTTTTATTATTTTCGTTGCTCTAAAACAGCATTTAGATGAACGATTTGTAAGAAGAAAAAGAAAGGAACCGATAGAAATCGTTGAACCGACATTTGAACCCGGATCTTTCGTTTGCTAGAGAATCGGCCAAACCAATTAAGCCATCCAGACGCGTCGATATCTTCTTTTTGTATCAATTTAACGTTTGAACACGGCTACCATTTACAGACACCGAATCAGAACTGTGAAAGTCGGTAAACTAGTCGGATTTTTTTTTTTTTTTTTTTACAGAATCATTACTTACTTAATGAAACTTTCTTACCTGGATCAGTAGTAGCTAATCGATCTTTGACCGTTGCGTTTTCGAGTGAACCACAGTGAAAGGTTTAAATTGTAGATTGTCGTCAAGTTAACCGAGGTCAGGGACAGTTTTAAGCCATCTTGAATCACTCTGTTATACAAGTAGTTTGTGCAACGTTCATCAAACTCCATTCAGTCGTACGATGGAAATTTGAAGAAAGCACCGTTTTCTATTCACCCCTCTCTTTTTCTTTCATCGATTCAGGCTAGACAGAATAAAAGAGAAAGAAGGGAGGAATAATTATTGAAACAGACGAGTAGGGTAACAGTTGCATATTTAGTGGTGACGGTTAAAGAAGAAAGGTTTCGCTTTGCCTCGCTTTTTATATTATTCCCTGTTTCTGAAATGAATGTTCATCGTTACATGGTAAAAATAAAAAAGAAAAACGGAATCGAGAAATAAAAGGCAGCTTTCGTTTCATTCTATTTTTCCAGTTTTTTCCCTTTTTTATTTTCTAATTTGCGGCGAGCCTCGACTTCTCGTAGGACGAAGTAACATCGTGTTACCTGGTAGAAAAGCGGTGCGTATAAACCACCTAGAACGTATCCGTTACAGAGGTTGCACCTCTGTAATGTTTCACATTCTATTGCCTGGTCAATCTACCTGCGCTTCCGTGAGAATATTTATACAGGATGGTTGAAGCGAACATGGAGAAAATTGTTGTATTCAGGTTTTTCGATCAACAATTACTTAGGAAAAATCAACTCATTTGTTCGGTAAGTGATAATCGATCGGTCTTACAAGATCTGTTCAGGTCTAGCTACAAGTTTTGTTAACGAGCAGCACCCTTTGCTTCGATGGAATATCGATATTCGCCTCAAGGATAATCGACTTGTCAGGATTCTGTCCCTAAACTTAACAAATGGGACTTTGCATGATGAATATAGTATTCGGATGAAGATTTCCAATGTACTTACCTAATCGGGAACGATAGGATATTTTTCTACACTCGTAATGTCATCTCCCCTTCAAATGTAGCGTGATAGAGATTTCTTTGAAAACACGAAAACATCCAAAGACATATTTTTTCTTCTATCGGTAGAAATGTATTGGAATGGCAAGCAATTAATGGAACACCATCTACATATTATCCACGTTTCATCCCTGTTCAATAAGAATCTTTGATATTTCGATATTTCGATATTTCAATATTTCGATATTTCGATATTTCGATATTTCGATATTCCAATTTCCTGGATAAAACGCTTTGTACTTAGCATTTTGTTTCCGAAGTGTGTCAGTTAATCCGAAATATTTAGGTACATATCGCGGATCTCTATGTATCTCGACTAAGCACGCATGCTTTCCAACTAAACTTTCTTTTTACAAATGGAACCGTAACGCTAGAAGGATTTTATTCAACCTAGAAAGCTACCCAGTCCACATTTTTCTTTTCTTTTCTTTTCTTTTCTTTTATAATAATTAAAATGTTCTCGTCTAAAAGTCGAAATGCAGGGAATTATTATAGTAGGTAGTATATCGGGTTAAATCACCGTAACATTATTATATTGTATATTCGGGTAGGTACTATTTCACGTTCAGTTTAATCAACCAACAGAACGCGAGAATCACCCGAGACCAAAGCATCTGAATTAGGTAACGCGTTCAATTAATCAGCCAACAATAGGGATCAGAGTGTCGTTTGGCCGCGAAATCGTTTTGGTAAACAGTTACCTACAGGGATACCACGTGTGTACCAACTCGTTCGAAACAAGTTGGAAAATCGAAATGGGTCGATGCTCGAAAAGACAACCCCCTTCTTTTTCATCGATGATCCATCATTACGATGGTTAATACATCGCAATCGTTAGAAAGTTCCACTGTTTAGGCGATAAAAAGGCGAAATGGAAATCTATTTTCGTACACTGCTACGCTCACAATCAGCGTTGTGAATTGCAATCGTGAAAGCCAATCTGATTTCTTCGTTCTATTATATTTTCACATTTTCACATTTTCACATTTTCACATTTTCACTTGTCCACGCTAACAATAAGTGATATTTAACTGCGTTCAAATAAAAAAACTGTTGTGTTTGAGTGTCAATCACACTACTATTTATTAACTATTAACTGTAGGTAATACAAATACTTAATTATTATCTATGTTAAGAAGATATTTGCCGCTTTCCTTTCCACCCGTACATAGATGATAAAAGATACCCACGAAGCAACCTAATTTAGCAATGATCGTGATGGCGTTCAAGTTACCGCTTCCTGCTTATATCATTGCTCTCCTACAATAGCCGCAAGCCCAAAAGCGTGTTCATCGGGCGTGAATACGCGCGCACACGCTCCGTTAATGCATAATGCATATAATCGAGGCTACGATCGTACCTATATGTATAATCCCAGTGCAGACAAGCCAGCTATTCCGATCCAGAAAGTTAACATTTCAAGCCGAATGTCAAGTAGAAACGGCAGCAGGCTTCTGATCATTGCCTAGCTTCTTGTCAATCCTATTCTCCGAGGAGGACATGGCGTGACGTGCCGTGCCGTGACGTGCCGTGCCGAGAAGACTGAGCTAACTTGGACTCGAGGATGTCCGTTTCACAGACTGTGGCCCATTTCAAGGAGCTAAACATGGACAACAACCTCCTCGAACTTGCCTCCTTGTATTTCAGCTTCTACCGGATCGATCGACGCTGGGCGGCGCTGGGTGGCGCTGGGCGGCGCTGAGCACCGCGCCGGTGCTCTCTCAGGACTCGTTCAACGGATCATCGAATTTCAAGCGGGTCTTATTGACGATGAGATACCAGACTCGTCGTCCCAAAAGTAACGTACAATAAAAAGGTACCAGGAAGAGCCAGAATAGAGTAATACTCGAGCGGTTAATGGTCGCAGAGGGTTTAACTTAATGTGTCTCGTAATCGAGTTTCGAGTGCCTTAAAAAAAAAGAAGATTCATAAGGTGAAATCTAACAATAAGCAACTTGTAGAAATTTGAAATTTGAAAATGTACAGAGTACAGTATGGCAGCTAAACGACCCAATTACTCTCATTTTCCGACTGAAATACACACGATTAGCCAAGCTTTTTTTAATCGCCGTGTCTGCTAGCGTAGTTACGCCCGTTTCGGAAGCCTTTTAGTACACTCCAGTTATTTCTGTTTCCCCGCAATTAAATCCTTTTCGTTGGCCACAATTCCATCGTTCTTTCTTTTTCTCTCTCGTTTCGATGAAATAAAAGGTAAGGTGAAGCACGTTAACGTGTTGTTCAATTTTCATTTACTCGCGCGCATCCCCACTCTGTGGATTCTTGAAATCGAAATCTAGAAAATTTCTAAACTTTTATCTTTTTATTCACCGTCACTTATATTCGCTATTCGCATAGTCAGTTTACCATGAGTTAATGCACGAAAAGAAAGCCAATTCCATCCAGCATTGAATCTCGTAAAGAAAGAATCAGATCTGGTTTCGACAATCAGGCCCGGACAATAGTTCAGCAAGGAGTAATTCCACAAACGACCCAGCCGCCTGATTGGTCTCGTTAATGTTGGTGACTCCGGCCTAAATGCAAGGCCAAAGCCTTTGAAGTGGATTGCCAAACGCATTCAGAAATTAGGGCCTTCGAAGCACCACAGTTTCCTACTATGTATATCTGTTATTAGACACTCGGTGTCAAGAGCAATGCTAATGTTTGCGATGTTTCCGGTCTGCCCTTCAACCTGTCAACTTGTACGTTTCCACGTGGGTCATCTGTTTATTCCGGATTCTCTGTCGCGATACTTTATACTAACATCGATTAGGTTCGATTAGGGAGTCAAGTAGTTACGCTTTTTGTCGTCTTGTAATATTGCACAAAGGGTTTTTCTAATATAAATATTAGGACATACACACGTACATAAAGGTATGATGGTTTTTGGTATAATTTAGTAAGAAAAATTCATTGTCGGATATTGACGATAATTAATATTGCTATGTCTTTAATCATGACCCATTAAAGGGAGTATTGGAAACGAATCAATTAGCCAAATAGCGAGCCTGGGGTGTGTGCTCCTGTCGTAATTAATTGCTGTAATTAATTAGCCTCGTTTAATTACCGACAATGAGACCAACACTAATGTTCTGTAACGTTTCTCTTTCAATCTGATCGAATTTAAAGATGATCGAATAATGTTCGTCGATACGAACGAGTCAAGTTTATTTTTTTCTAATTCAATTGAATTCTCACCTTGATATGCCTAGACTTTTCTTTCTCTCCTCTTTTTCTAGTCGCTTAACTAAATGAAATATGTATCATCAATTTCTTCTCTCACACGTACACGTTCACGTTCGCGCAAAGGAAAAAAAGGACAGCTTAATATTCGAAGAAGTTGGAAGCAATCCAGATTAAAGACAGCTACATTATTATTAAACGTCGCGTCGCGTCGCGTCGCATCGAGCTAAAATTTTCCTCCTTTTACCGTCACTTTCTTTCACAACTATATCAATTCTAGCATGGAATTATGAAATTTTAGAATTATCGGCAAATTTGTAACTGGATCACAATAGGTAACCGAGACTCGCATCGTTTTTCAAATAACCTTTATAATTCTATAGAAGAAAACTTCTGGTACAATAATCTCGATAAAAGACGCGGCTAATATATGCGTCACTGATCGATCGAGTGACCCGGAGACACTTGGAAAGACCGTTTGAGAAACTCGAGCCGAGGAAAAAGAATTGGACGGAAGATTCAGCCGCGTGTTCCTGGAGGAAAAAAGAGAAAAGAGAAAAGAGAAAAGAGAAAATAGAGAAAGGGGAAAAGCAGGATAAGGCAGGCAGACTCGGCATTGTGCCCAGCAAGGAAATTGCAGTGTCACGTTTTGCAAAAATGCCACGGAACTCCGGCCTCTGGATTAGTTCCAGATTCACTGAATATTAAATTGCACGGGAGGCGCTGTCGATTGTCGATCCTCCTTCCTACACAAATTTACTTCTATAGCTGCTGGAAATTTCAACTTGAAATGGGCAAAACAAATCAATATTACCTACTTAATTTAGTTTACCTAAATACATCAACATGGCATCGCAGGTAGTTTCTTTACTTTTCAATTTCCATCGCCTATCTTTTTATTTAAAATTCAAACGCTATATACAGGATATCTACAGTCGAAACCAAGTTATCCTTTATAACTGTTGAAAGTTGTATAAGCAAATTGGCCATTTAATCACCAACAACGGAAGGAAAACGAAACGAAACGAAACGAAACGAAACGAAAGTTGGGGGTTGGTTGGATTCGTTCAAGTGAATGCGACGGAAAGAACAATGGCAGACGGAAAGGAAAAAGTGGTGGTCCGATTAAACCGACTACCACTGATAACCTAACCAACGGGAAATCGCGTAGGAAATTGTACATTTTAACCTGGAATGATTTAAAAGTCCGTTTAAAAAGATTTTTAAACGGTTTCATCAAATATCCCTGCTAAATTACGACCTCGTCCTGACGAGGGAATCTAAGAGACAGGGAAAAAAGATGAAGAAAGATAGTCTTTATAAAATTATTTATTAATTATCTATAGTTAAAATTTCAAACAACCATAATAATGATAAATCTTTTACTGAATAATTATTTCAATTGAATAAGTATAATAATAATATTATTATTATTAGATGAAATTGATTCCAGTGATGATAAATTCACCGAACGAAGGCACGATATTATTCACGTATTATTCACGTATTATTGTTGATCGTTATGAAAATTTTCCATCAAATCAATAGGCAAACGGAAAAATATTCATTCCATGGCACGTTGCATATATAATGTATGTAGGTACGTAACAAGACAATTATTCTCTCGTTGATAGACGAACAGCAAAGGACACCATTATCGAAATCACGTAACAAGAATGTTCTGTTAGAATTTGTTAAAACGCATCGTAATATAAATACTCGTCTATTGCGAGATGAAAAATTCATCCACCGCACCGTGTTGATAACTTTATTGAATACATATATGTATGAAAAACTGAGTCGATAAAATTCCAAATTTCTTTTCTCTTTATCAATTTATCAATTTTTAAATTTATCAATTTATCCTGGGCCTTTCCCTTTTTGTCTAACTGATATCAGAATTATTCGGAATAAAAGTTTCAGAAAAATTTCTTATTTCTTCACGTTTTCTTCTTTAGCTCGAAACTGTTTGAATTTTGAATAGTGTTTGCGGCCGAGCGCAATCAGTCCCTTTTGAAATCCAATTCTCCTTCGGCAAACTATCAAACTATCCCCGACCAGTATTTAAGCGCAATTGTAAGAGAATAGATGGAGGTTTTCGCGTGGTAGTCAATGTCCTGATTTAAAGTTTGCTCGCGCTCAAACTCTTCTACACAAGCCGAGGAATTTCATCATCTTTTAAACCTAACCTAGTAGTAGGCATTCGTTTCATTTATTTGGCAAAGAAGCTTTCTCTTCCTTAGATTTAACGAATAGAAAGACGGATGCGACAGTAGTGTTGGGGTGATATCGTTCCGAGGGCCAGAATAACGACTCCTTTAAGGAAATCTTCTGGCTTTCGCGTTTAAGTCCGACTTTGCGGATAATGATCATTATACGTTAATTTGTGCGGCCTAGATATCCGCCAAAAAGCAAGCCGTTTTTTATCCTGCAATATTTCCTCATCATTTTCGTTACGATCTCGAGCGAACTCAATCTAGGGGATTTCGAGGATTTCGAGGATTTCGAGGATTTCGGGGATTTCGGGTTTTGATCGTAAACTTTCTATCCTCTTCCATTGACGACGATGAGAAAAGTTTCGATGCTTACACAATGGAGATCTAGGGAGGAAAAGGGAAAAGGGAAAAGGGACACGCGTCGATGGTCAACCAGAATAGATGGTCCTGGCTAAACTTGAATCGATAACAAGGAGGAATTTCGTCTATGTCCACTATCGTGGTTGCGACTAGGCAATGTTACCTGATTTATTCAAGTCCGCGTGGAAGTGGTAGTAGGACCGCTTAACCGATCGTATTTCGATTATTTCAATTAAATTCAAAATTGCTTGAAATTAATTGGAATCGAAGTGATCATTTAATAAACCGATAAATTATCTTTTTTTTTGTTTTTCAAAGAAAAACAGTGACGCCAGTGACAATGATATAATTTACTTTTGTCTCTCATCATCAGGAAAAATGTAACGCGTTTGCTCCTATTATCGAGAATATAAACATGAATTTACGGAGAAATTTTGTTCACAAAGTTTCACTGAAATACGTAGCGCGTAATAGCAAAGTCTCGTTAAAAGCTAACTCGACAATATACGAGAACCTTTGAAACATCAAGATATTTTTCTACCAAACACATTTTTGTAAGAATAATAATATTTAGTTGCAGCCACGTTTAAATGCTCCATTATTCAGGGCTGCCTATTTTTTACGAATACGGAAAAATAATTGAATCTCTACCTCAAGTTTTGAAGGTAAAACGTTTAAATACATGAATTTTTCGAAAGCGATAGAATGGATCACTAGTTACCAGCAGTAAAATATAGAAGAAAATGAAGAAGGTAAAAGGGCGATACATTAATCCGAAAGATTGATAAATCGCGATTAAACGGTTCTTTTTCTTTTTCTTCGTCTTCGTCTTCGTCTTCGTCTCATAGACAGGGTGGTCGAGGTAATTGCTCGTTCGAGCGAGTAAAAAGGTTCGCTAGAACCCAAAGTTCATCCTATCGACATAGGGGAAGTAAAGAACAGCTGACCTGTTTCTCTATTTCTATCCACGATACACGACACGACACGACACGACACGACACTGAGAGAGCACACGTGAATACATTATTACTTGCTCGTTATCGTGCTCCAAATGTTTCACGTCCTGTTTTCCATTTTTCAACTACCCAGAGTCGTTTTACGCGCAACCTCTCTCCTTGTGAATACAACTTTGTCCCATTCGAATTTACGCAGAAACGTAAAAATAGTAATAAAAGAAGAAGAAGAAGAAAAAAAAACTAGAACAGTAATAGAACAGTAATGATACGTGTAAGAGAGCAGACTGCTTCCGGTAATGAAACTCGAGGTGAAGAGGAAATTCGAAAGAGAGGGCACACGCACGTGCTTCAACGTGGGGACGTTGAACGGTCTAAGGGATGCTGGAGAGGGGATGCAGGAGGTTGAGGTCGCATTGATTTTGTCTAGACAGGGTGGAGACTACTAGCTGTGGTATCGTCCTTCGCTCACCGTTGATATTCCGGCATCCAGTACGCTCGGTGCACGCACCTGCACTCTTGCAACTGCATTCTCTTCTCCGTTCGCCATCTTACACGCGATATTATTACACATTTCCTGGAATTTCGTGAAATTTCGTGAAATTTCGTGAAATTTTCTAAATAAACAATTTGTGTATCCATTTTCACTCACGCTCATTATTCATTTGTGGGAAAAATGAAAGATGCGTTCAATTAATGGCTATTTTCTAAAAGTGTCTGTTCTGGAATTTTTCTCATCCTGATAAGCAGAAAGATGTAGTAGAATTTCAATTTGTTGGTAGGTAAATTTTTCTTTAATTACAATCAAACATTTCTTTTTAATTCAATAGATGTTTCATACCTATAATATAATATAATATAATATAATATAATATAATATGATATGATGAAGATGTTGTAAAGATTGAAATTGAATAAAACTTCCCGTCTTCTTTTTCTTTCATGGAATATTTCGAAGAGAACGGTACCAATTATTCACTCATTTCTTTTCATGAACTTTCCGTTGCAGTAAAAGTATAAAGTTCATTAGTATTCATTAAAATAGCGCAAGCAGCGCAAGCTCATTATAATGTAGGTAAGTTACGAGGTTTCGCCGGCAAACTTTCTTCTCGTAATGTACTCAACAATTATCGTGATAAAAAAATCAAGTACCCTTTCTTCCTTCCGGTGAACGTTGAAATTAATAATGTGTCATTGAAAAATTTCATTGATATCTTTCAACGCTAGAATAATCGATTATTACTTGTGTGTGTGTATGTACAAGAGCTGTGCTGCAATACCATTCAATTATTGCAATTAGGTAATAGCAATTGGAAATTTCTCTGGTTTATGTTACAGGGACCCCCTCGACTCCGATAATGCCAGGGGGCACACCTGGCACCCCGTCATCAAAAACGAAGGTAAAAGAATCAAAATATTTTCACAAAAATCAATGTGTTTTTCTGTATCAATGTATATTTTTAGGATAAAATAATGATGAGGACGAAGGTGGTGGTAGCTCTGTACCCTTTTCGAGCGATCGAAGGAGGCGATCTGTCCCTCGAAAAGGTAAGCAAACAATTCTACACTCAATTAAGATCTCACTTCTACAATGCAGTTTTAATTGCAATAGGAGGAAACCTGAGATCGCGATAATTCCCAAATTAGACTAAACTTCTAATTCTAATCGCATCGAAACCATCGAATCTTTCTGATCCGGGATACAGCTTTCGACTTTTGTCACGCCGCTATTTCAATCTTTCCTCGTTCAACAATATCTATATTATAAAAATGTTAATAATGAATTTTTCTTAGCTAAATGCTAAAAATTCTCACGATGAAAAGTGACAACAAGTGAGAAGTAAATCGCGACGCGATGCGATTTCTTTAATATTTCACAGCACGTAAAAAGCCTTTTGAAAACTGGTCCATCAATGCTGAAAGCTACCGCCGAAACGATAAAAGCTGCTCCTCCGTTCTGGCATCGATTGCCAAAAAACTGTGTTTTTACACGCAGTCTTTTCTTTCATTCCTCGAAATTCAAGAAATTTGAAGGGAAAAGCATAGTGGCGTTTCTCTTTTTCCTTCGAAATTAGCTAATAGACGTATGTTTTATTTCAGGGTGCAGAGTACGAAGTGCTGGATGATTCCCAAGAACATTGGTGGAAAGTGAAAGACGAACATGGGTATGTATGTTGCTGATAAATATCTTGCTATTTTATTTAAAACACCAGAAATTACCTAACTTGGGTAATTTTATTTGACAGATCTATCGGTTACATTCCCAGCAACTACGTGAAAGAGAAAGAACTTTTGGGCCTTCAAAAATACGAGTAAGCCCGCTAGTACAATATTATATAATCTTTCTTAATCGAATTTTAATGCAAATGCACCGTTAGAGTGTTAATAAAATTATAATTATAGGTGGTACGTAGGTGATATGTCGAGGCAACGCGCAGAATCATTGCTCAAACAAGAAGACAAAGAAGGATGTTTTGTTGTTCGTAATTCCTCTACCAAAGGGCTTTACACGCTTTCACTCTACACTAAAGTGTAAGTATCTTGACTTTTGAAGAATACCTTTTGTGTGTTGATGTTTAGGGGAACGGTTGAAAAGAAGACGGTCTGTGTTCTTGCAGCCCGCATCCGCACGTGAAACACTATCATATCAAGCAGAATACAAGAGGAGAATTTTATTTGTCCGAGAAACATTGTTGCGGTTCGATACCGGATTTGGTCAATTATCACAGGCACAATAGCGGTGGTTTGGCCAGCCGATTGAAAACTAGCCCATGTGATCGTCCTGTACCACCTACCGCTGGTCTCAGTCATGGTTTGTTACTTTCCTCTTTTATTCTAATACAATTTATTTACATACAACTCGCCTGCTCGAATATATTTATTACCTGCTTCTGGTAATCTTCTGGATGATTCACAGATAAATGGGAAATTGATCCAGCAGAGTTACATCTATTGGAAGAACTTGGTTCTGGACAATTTGGGGTTGTGCGAAGAGGTAAATGGCGTGGTTCTATAGACGTTGCTGTTAAAATGATGAAAGAAGGTACTATGTCTGAGGATGACTTTATAGAAGAAGCTAAAGTGATGACGTAAGTCGATAACCTGACGAAGAAAACATTCGATTCAGAAGCACATTATTAATATCAAATTATTTCACATAGGAAACTCCAACATCAAAACTTGGTGCAGTTGTATGGTGTTTGCAGTAAAGATAGGCCAATATACATTGTCACTGAATATATGCGACACGGGTCTCTACTCAATTACCTCCGTCGTCATGAAGCAACATTAGGAGCTAATGTTGGCCTACTTCTGGACATGTGCATACAGGTAGAAACATCCACACTGTTGCGTATAATACAATAATACAATAATACATACTTTGCAATCAGTTAGATTAGTTTTAGATTATAATTAATATACAATATAATTTTCTTATTTCAACGATAGGTTTGCAAAGGAATGGCTTATTTGGAAAGGCACAACTATATCCACAGAGATCTTGCTGCGCGCAACTGTTTAGTCGGTTCAGAGAACGTAGTTAAAGTTGCTGACTTTGGATTAGCAAGGTAAATGATATTCTTTAACGTTCATATATTCAATGTACATACACGGTGTACTATGAATATTTTACTCTTGAATATCTTTTTTATTAGGTATGTTCTCGATGATCAATACACCAGCAGTGGAGGTACCAAATTTCCTATCAAATGGGCACCACCTGAAGTATTGAACTATACACGCTTCAGCTCGAAATCGGATGTTTGGGCATACGGAGTACTTATGTGGGAAGTATTCACGTGCGGCAAAATGCCTTATGGGCGTCTAAAGAATACCGAAGTTGTTGAAAGAGTACAACGAGGAATCATATTAGAAAGACCCAAGGCCTGCTTCAAAGAAGTTTACGAGGTTAGCAAACCCAAAATTAATCTATTATCCTATTTATTATAAATAGCCCCGTAGCAAAACTAATTAAGCCCCCTGTAAGCTTCTAAATAATCTAGTGAAAAAGGTTTTAAACAAAGTGTACCGATATGTTTGTCAGGTAATGCGAAAATGCTGGGCCCATTGCCCGGAAGTACGACCGTCCTTCCGCGTATTGAAAGAACAGCTGATCAGCGTGTCTCAAGGTCTGCTCAATGATTGACTCAACCTTCTACGGTGTATGCGCCTATCGTCGCCTTCAAGCCGGTCAATACAGGCGGCAAAATCTCCATCGCTCGAGCGATCACCCTCGATTCTACCATCGTCAAACAACTCTTCATCGTCGTACAACTCGGCAACTTTACCGTCGTCCCGTAAGACTCGTGCGCCAGCCTCATTACCGCCCTCGGTCGATTTTCTACATCTATCGTCGTCCACGTGTAAATTAAAGAAAGAAGGGTCATCCTCACCGAGTACACCTGGCCACCAACCTAGTCAACCATCATCAAGCTCGTCGTCTAACGTCTGTGACATTTGCAGTTCCTACGGCCATCCGTGGATCGAAATTTGCAAGGCGATTAGAGCCACTAAAGGCAAATAAAAAAGTGTGTGTGTCCCGAAGTATGTGTGTCGATTTAAACCGATTATATAACGCAGCTTACACGACAGAAAGATAACAAAAATATTGATACGACATTATTTCAGCCTACACAGCACTGCATTTTATCCTATCCTATCCTATCCTATCCTACCCTACCTTAACTTACCTTACCTTACCCTACCCTACCCTACCCTACATTGCTCCCACCCCGACTATCTTTGACCAAACTATTCGAAACCTGACTAATATTATCTTTTAGACGTGGCTTTTTTTCTTTCGTCGAACCTAAAGAACTGAGTGCATGATTGTTTTTTGTATCCCTTTCTAATCCCTTCCTAATCCCAACCTAAACCAAACCTAATCCAAACCTAATCTCAACGATAATAAGTTTCAGAGTACCCTATGCAACGATATCGGATGCATTTACGAATAGAACAGTAGTATTTATTGACTGCCCTTTTAAACGGGATATACTAGTACGTTGTGATTTTTCTCGTTTTTATTTTTCTTCTCGTTTCCGTAGAAATGTATTGTATTGTCCCTTTTGTTATATCGACTTTTTAACGAAAACCGTCAAGTAACTTCACGAACGAGAACAAGATTATTTCTGCTTGATAAAATCAATTTAATAAATGAATGTTTCACTTGTGTATTATATACTATGACGATTTAATAAAATAGAATAAATAAAACTAAACTGTTTTATGTTGGTAGAATTATTTGGAGATTCTACCAAATGCTAAACTTTACAGACCAAAAATAATAAATGGTGAGAGGTCCCTTGATTTTTAAAAAGTTTATGTTGCACAGCATACAATATTGCAAAATTTCATTCCAGTATAAAAATGTAAAACGTTTCATACATTTTTAAATACATTTTTAATACATTAATACTTTGACGTACATTAATTTACAAAGCACTTAAAAAAAAAGAGATGGACTGCTTTCTTTGTTGATACTTTTCTTAACATTTAAGTTTTATATATATATTAACTTCTTTTCTCAGCTATTTATTTAATTGACTTAAATTCTTCCATCATTTTGGTTATTTAACGTACTCAACTTCGTTACGGGGTCCCTGACACCCCGATGCCATGTCGGTATGCAAAATGTCTCTGGTGCTTTGGGGTCCCAGACACCCCGGGTATCATGTCGGTATGCAGTGTCTCCGATGCTTCGGGGTCCCTGACACCCCAGATGCCATAATGTCGGTAAGCAAAGAGCGTCAGATGGTTTTCGGGGTCTCAGATACCCCAAGGTGTGTCAAGTCAGTAGACAGAAATCGGCACCGATGTATCGGGGTCCCTGACACCCCGGATGCCATAATGTCGGTAAGCAAAGAGTATTAGCGGAGCTTCGGGGTCCCTGACACCCCAGATGACATAATGTCGGTAAGCAAAGAGCGTCAGCGGTGCTTCGGGGTCCCTGACACCCCAAGATGTATCAGGTCAGTACACAGAAAGCGCCACCGACATATCGGGGTCCCTGACACCCCTGATGCCATAATGTCGGTAAGCAGAGTGTCAGCCGTGCTTCGGGGTCCCTGACACCCCAAGATGACTCTCTAGACACCGACCTGATATCATATTGGGGTGTTGAGGACCCCGAAGCGCGAGTGACTACATATCTACATTATGGCATCTGGGGTGTCAGGGACCCCGAAGCTAAAACGTGCGACGTAGTATTTGTATAAGAAATTTGCGCTATATATCAGTGGAAATTTCAAACCTCTGTAACTTTTGACCCCGACCACTTAGAAGCACAAACGCAACGGGGACGTATAAAGCGTATCTCTAACCCTAGTAGTTTTCAAGTTGAAAAATAATACATTTTATATATATAAGATAAATGTTTATTTACACATATGTACATATCAAATAACTTGTATATGATTATATCTGCAATCCCTGTATACTTTTTACATACTTTCAAACAGTTCTCTTACTATGAAACGGTCACGAACGTTTACTCGTATCGAAAAAAAGGAAAAAAAATGGTAAAGAATATTATATACGTAAAATTACATTTGTATGTAAATTAAACTACAGGTTTTATAGGTTCCATTTTTGGATATAAATCTGTTCGGCGATGATTTTCACATGGCATGTTTTCTCTAACTTGTTTTATAAAGTTCAAATCAATTTCTGCTAAAGCTATATCAGTTTTATCACTACACTGAGCTACTACTGTTCCCCATGGGTCAACAACCTGCAAAAGTTGTACATATAGCATTAGCAATTACAAATTAAAAAGTATCTTAAAAGTTACACAAATTTCAAGTAAAATTATTTACCATTGCATGACCCCAGCTTACTCTTTTTTTATTATGGGTACCAGTTTGAGCTGCAGCTACAACATAACACTGTGTTTCTATAGCTCTAGCACGTAATAATACCTCCCAGTGTGCAGCACCTGTTTGGTAGGTAAATGCTGATGGATACGTTAGAATCTCAGCTCCCATATTTCTCAATGAAAGAGATAATTCAGGAAAACGCATATCATAACACTGATTTTGTTAAATTTTTATAGCTTTAAAAATTTTGAAGTATTATTTATATATAAAGGATACAATACTAAGTGCTAATTTGCCAACTGGTGTCGATATAGGTGGTTCAATTTTTTGTCCTGGTAAAACATAATCTGATTCCAGTAACCTAACACCAGTATTTTTATTGTCCATATCAAATAAATGTATTTTACGATAAACCCCAACAATATCACCTTTGCTACTTATTACAATATGAGTGTTACCAATACATTTTTCATTTTCAGTTAACTGTAAATATGATTAAGTCGGTACATTAATAAAACAGAGAATATTGTAGCAGTGTTATATTCTCTTAAAGTTCAAGAAATCTTACTGCTTCGTGTAATCCACCGAATGATAACCACATGTTATTTTTTTTTGCTATTTCTTTATAATTAGACACTGTTGGTCCATTTAAATGTTCCGCCATAGCTACTACATCTTTTTTATTATCTGCTAAATAATCGCATGCTTCAGGGAAAAATGTAATCTAAATACATATAAATTATTTTAGAAATCTATATGGTTAATAATATAAAAAAAAAAAACTTTAATGAAACACCTTATATTTGTACTTACACAAGCTGATCTAGCTTTAGCTTTTGAAACAACTTCAGACACAGTTTGTAAATTCTTTTCTTTATCATTTGTTGATGTCATTTGACATACTGCAATTAGAGGATTTGTCATTATGTGAAAATGTCTATCAAACTGTTTTCTAAAAGAAACACATTTATGAAACGATAAAAGCAATTTAAAATTGATCTAAATTCATTTTACAAAAATTAACATCTTTAATTATAATACAAGATAAAAAATAAATAATATTTATTATCAATGATTGGTTTTATTATAAATTACGATTTTCTTATAATTATTACCTGCAATATATGATACTATTGAAATTCCTAATAAAACGCATGCTTATCATTTATTTACTTTGCAAATATAAACATTTCATAACTGCCATTGCTCTCGAGGAGTCATTATTTTGGGGGTCCCAGACACCCCCAGGCACAGTTAGGTCTGCATGTAAAGAGTACAGTCGGTATGACAGATATGCGTATTTTAACAGCTCCTCTCTTACCGTGCCATTCCTGCCGATAGCACCGCCATAGCGACCGCTTAGGGGTGCAGATCTACGTGCTAAACATACATATATCTATATTTTATTTTCTGCGTTCATTTAATTTGCTGTATTTATCTTCTTAGCTTATTGAATAAACTCATTAGCAGGACAAACGTGTTCAGTTTATTACTCCCGTATGCATCCTTTACATCCCTGATTCTTTTACATCACTGGCGCTTCGGGGTCTTCAACACCCATATATGATACCAGGTCGGTATTCAGAGTTCTGTCGCAAAGGGGTCCCTGACACCCCTGGATGAAAATCTTTTTATGTGCCTCTCGGAGATTACCACTAAATTGCACTAAATCACTGTATCTCCGTATTCCTTGTTATAGTATATTTTATTGTACATATTGTGTAATAACATATAACTATTAAATATGAATATTTCTTTGTACTTAAAAAATGTAGAATACGTAAAAAGAAGTTGCTATTTTTGTACATGTATATGATTTTGCACGTGTTAAACTGAAGGTTTAACAGACTACCAGAAATATCTGTTAAGATATTCCAGTGAAACATACAATATTACATTGTTAAGAATACCATAAATAATCTATTGTTTATTGTACTAATACAAACTATTAATTTATTTGAATCTTCAATGGTCTTTCCAAAATGGCACGTACTATATCTGTAGATACAGGTGCAATGTCTTTCCATTATTTATTACCTACAAAACATAAATTGCCATTAAATTTCCATTAAAAAATAATTTACAAATATTTACATACTTTCACTTGTGTCCGTTCTTTGAGATCCTATAAGGTCTGCTTCAACTCCCTGCAATGCCCAATTATGTTCATATATCTCCAATGCTTCCCACTCTGATTTAAATGCAGCTTTTGGATCTGGTGGCATAGACATTGCTGCCCCAGATACCTGGTCCTGTAGAAGTCTAGAAGTATCAGCAGCATTGCTTTCTCCAAGAACAAGCGTATAAATGGAACGCAATCCAAACACATTAAGGAAATACCAAGATGCAGATGAAACCCATGCAGCATCAAGGGTGACTAACTCTATGCCACGTTGCAACATAGGTTTAAAACGCAATGTCAAGGGAAATGGCACTTTGGCTAAAAACAGATTATTAATATTCTTAAAAGTTAAGATCACATTGAGTGTATAGCAAATTATTAATTAAATATAAAAACCAATATACAATATAGGACTAAACATCGAACCTACTTGTAACAAAACCAGAAAACATCCAATTAATCCATCCTCCTATCAGTACCATTGGTAAAACGTTGGTAACATTTCCCTTTAACATATCCGTCATCATATTAGGATCTGTCATAGGATTTTGAGACACAGGAGCACGTTTCTGAGTTTTAAAATACCCTGTTTCTTCATTGTTAAAGAAATGTCTTCTACTAATAAATGCCATTTTTGGAATATATTGGCCATTTTCCCTAAGTAATCTCGAGCGTATCATCACTTGACTGTAAGATATCAAAATTATACGTTAATTACAAATACGTAAATATTTTATTCACTTCAGAATACAACGTTGCAAATAATTACCTGTCCTGTACTTGATGAAGCTCAACCTTTTTCTGTGAAGCAAGAAGTATCGAAACATAATGACGAATAATTCCTACGAGAAACGTAATCACGACAATAGGTAAGAACACCCACCCTCGAATGTTTGGATCTAAAAGCAACTCGGCCATACCATTTGCTGCGCTCCACAAATTTACGTGGAAGACAGAATAAAAGTAAGAAAACTAAACAGCCTGAAGAACATTTTATGTATGTGTGTACATGCATAGAAGCTGTCCCCACCACTAGGTATGATACCGCGAACCAGCAGGCATTATGCCTAATTCATAGGAGCCACTTTGGTATTCGCCAGTGATGGCCGCTGTGGGGTATTAGCCAGTAGTAATCTGCACTCCCACGCTGCCCTACGCCAGGGCACGGTGGGGGATCTTATGCAAGGTTTCCCCACGTTAAAAAAAAACTATTTACAACCACTGATTTCCTTACTACATATCTGCATCCTTTACATCCCTGGATCCTATACATGTCTGCATTCCTTACATACCTGCTTGCCTTACATGCCTATGTATGTATGTATGTACATCCCTTACATCTTTGAAATCGTTACATCCCTGCATCCATTATATCTTGGCATCCCTTACACCTCAGCAATTCTCATCAGACATCCTTCCTTTGCGCCGGTTTGCACCGCTGTCTTAGACCGCCATTTTCCCTAAAAAGTAAGCGGAGTTTCAAGTTTCAAGCGATTTCAAGCAGTCGAAATTGATCGAAATGGAAGAAGCTATGAATAACTGGGTTATTGTATTGCATTCAGTTTTTGATGTTTTACATTTTAAACCAATAGTTGCAAATTTATGGGACAAAGAGACGTTTAATATGCAACGAATGAATGAAATAAGAATAAAAAGGTCTGATGTACTCCTTGGATACCTAATTCCATTTTGGATTATTTTATATTTTATGTATGAAAAGTGCCTTAATGTAAGTTTTAAAAATTTATTCATATTTTCACGCAGTTTTTTCGTATTAATTAATGAGTTTGTCAATTTTTTTTTTGGGTTTACTTGCAAAGAATGCAGATAAAGGATAACAAAGCCTATTGACAATATGTTTGATACTTTTCATTTATTAACACAGTCGTTACTTCGACGTATGCGCATTCCATTGTTGCAAAGAAGTAGAATAATCGAGGCTGTGTGGGATTGTGGATTTTGCTTTGGTAGCATTTGTTATTTGAAGTCATCTACTGTCAAGACGATAAACTTTTTCTCTGAAGAACAAGCAGTAACTCACCAAGAGTTAGGTGTTATTCTACATAAAAGCTTTTACCTTCACCGGGCAGGAGTAGAAATCTTCTGTCACGAGGCTTGGATAAAAGGCTGGGCCAACTTGCTGTTTGCATCTTTTGTTATGAATCCATATCAGGAAAAGTAAAACAACTTTCATTGTAATATAATTTGTTGCTCTTTAATCGTGCAATTCTATATATATATATAATCTCTAATTGTTTCCTTTGAACATGTAGCAGTTGATTCTAAATTAGGTATTAAGTATTAAGTAGAAAATGTAATCTTCTTTACAGATGGTGTACAGTAGTAAGCACTTTTGTGTTTTACAAAGCATTTGATACTATTGTGATAAGTATATGTCGTATTTTGTTATGTACATCACACTTTATTGGAAAAAAGCTACCCAAGTTGTTCTTTTTCCTTCATTGTCTCAGCTGGTTAGTACAATTATACAGTTATCATTTATCATTTATCATTATCATTTATTTTCTTTTTCAGGATATATTTGTACACATTATTTGTACCAAAATTAATGTTGTGGACAGAAAGTACTAACCATACACGAGCAAAGTTGGGTTTGTGGCTGTGGTTTATCGCAGAATGCATAGATTCGGTAATGTTACGTTTGAATCATAGTATCTACTTTCTAAAAGTAAGTCCTACTTAATAAAAAATGTAATTTTTAGATGTGGTTTAGGTTATTATGGTGTGGAAAGGCTACACACTGGCTAGAAATTTGTTTATTTCCACCTCCAACACAGGAAGCAATTGAATTAGCAGGAATACAAAAGCGACACAGAGATTCATTAAAAAAGTTAGTTAATAGAACTTCAAAAAAAGCTGAATTATGGCAAACGTTATTTTGTAAGTATGTTTAAGAATAAATTTTCTATTGTCACACTATTAAGAATCTTGAAATTAAAACCAGGTGCAGTAGCTATTAAAAAGAAAATTAAAAGGATTCGGGAAGCAAAACATAATGAGACTACATCGCTAACTGATTATCCAGAAATATTATCTCAAACAAATGCAAAGGAAGAACCAATGAGAAATGAGAAGGAAAACGAGAACGAGAACGAGAACGGGAAGGGGAACGAACAGTGATCACAGAGATAAGCAATATAATCAGTATTTTACAATTGAGGAAAAAGTAAATATAAAGACTATGCTGCAGTTTGCACACATTTTACCTTGATAAAAACGCCCGTTTTACCAAATATATGAATATACAAAAATAATATTGTTAGAAAACTGTGACTTTCTTGAAGCTTGTAATGACGATGTTAATAGTTTAATGTAATTGTATTTTATAATGTTCATTTTCTAACTTTTTTAATCTACACCATAGAGAACTCGTTATTATAAGAAGGAAAACTATTCAAATAACACAGTTCCTAGATATATAAAGTTTTATTTTCGATCATTTTGGATTGTGTCAATAAAATATAGTACATGTATTTAGGCTGAATTGTTCCACAATGTTATACAGCTTAATGAAAAATATTATAAATGAACGTTGTTTGAATAAAATTGTATTCAATATTCTGGCAGCGTACATGCCTTGATAATATCGTATTTCTAAAAATTGTTAAAACATTCGGTTTCGAAACTTATACATAAAATGCTGTATTATACAAATGCACAACACATTTTTTCGATTCGACAATAATCAATGGTAAAATTATTTAAGCGATCTTAGTTTTATATCAATGTCTAAATGTAGGGAGATCTTATGTTCTTATAAACTGTAGGTACATATTCTTTCACAGAATTAAAGAGTTATGTACATACCATTATTTTTGTTGTTTTTTCTTTTTTTTTGCAAATGAATACTGTGTATAAGGCGTTTTAAAATAGGTGTTAAATGCAATGAAATCAATGAATTGTCGCAGTACATCATATATAAAATATTCTAATAGAATTAAATATTTAAATGATAGTTGATAGATGTTGATATCAGAAAATTATGGTTTATCGTAGTTGTATAGAATTTGTTTAAAAAAAACAAGTTCCATGTACAGTGAAACCAGAGAATTAAATGAATGATAAAACATTGTTCAAAAACAGCTTGATCGATTGTGCGCTAAAGAATTCGGTTACTCTCTGTGATGAGTAAAACTACGTTTTTTTAAAATTAATATAGCAATATTTCTCTCCCTGAATAAGGCCTTTTCACGTGTATGACGACCGTTCATTGTTCAACACAACATTATAAAATCTCTGCCTCTCTTACTAAATTGGAATAATTATCCTTGATCCTTGAATGGAGATTAAAGGTCTGTTTATTACGTAAATTCTTTTATAATCGAGTTTTATAGACACACTCACAAAATATCTTGCCATATTATTTTTATCGTGTGTGTGTGCATTTGTTTGTGTGTGTGCATTTGTGTGTGTGTGTGTGTGTGTGTGTGTGTGTGGTGGTTATTTATAATATTTATATATGTATATCGTTAAGTTATTTCGTAACTTATGTTGAGTAACTATCACTGCGCTTACTTCCTCGTAATAACGTGTAATTAATTTCTCTTCAATGTCCCTTTTCTTTCTTTTGTTCTTGCTTTTTAAACGTCTTTAACCCTTTTGCTACGGCGTGCTTCAACCAAAACTCTTTTCAACGTATTAAAATTTCATAAAATTTCTTGTTCTTAAGAAATATTTCTTGTCCTTTCGTAATTTGATATTAACGCAATCTTGCATTTCTTTATTATATCGTTATATCGTTATATCGGTAAATCTACAGAATTAATAAAGCACTTTGGACGTAGCAAAAGAGTTAATGTACTTCACATATTCATGCTGTTTTAAATGACGACAAAAAGAATAAAAAAGATGCGAAGAAATGTAAAGTCTATATGTAAAATTCATGTTGGTATAATCATGTCAACGACAAGCCAAATTTGATCTTTTTTGTCTTCTTAGATTTTTAAGGCTTTTACGGGCCGGTTTCTCACAACTGATCGGGACTGGGTATAAATCGTGTCTCGAAGGATATACATCTTGATAATTCTCCATCATTGTAGTCAGCTTTTTCCCTGACAAGTTCGTTAGTTTTTATTATTTAAAATATTTGGAGAAGAGTCAGAATAATTATCTTACAAGACACGGTTTACACCCCAAAGTCTCGATCGATTATTTAGCGCATTTACTTCACAAGAGATACAGCTTCGTTCCCCAACTTTGTCGTTCCAAGTGACACTCGTCTGTTTATAAAGAATAATAGAACAGTGAGGTTTCGAGGACGCGGATCGTTGATTAATTTATTGACTAATAACTTTGCCTGGAATAGCGCGTATAAAATTGTTAAAGTGCTGTTTCTTTTCAATGCAACTGCTGTTGATGACGAGCTTTTATGGTGGATCGGGGGTTTTTTTTTTTTTTTTTTTTTTAATTTTATAGCGCAGCATAGACAGTAAATTATTTGAACGCGATCGCAGGATGAACAAATTATATGACCTTCTTTCTTCGCACATTCCGCCTTTCTTTTCTTTCCTTTTCTTTTCTTTTCTTTTTTTACATGCCACTTTGACATTGTTTAACGAACGTCTACGGTTCGCCGATATTGTTGAAACGAACGCAATTATTACGAAAGTTAATCTTATTACAAACACAGTACGTATTATGAGCAATAAAAGTTGAGTCGGTGAAACTTTCTTAGGCCCAACCATTTTTTTTTCCTTTCTCTCTTTCTCTTCCTTTTCATCTTGTAAAACATTTAGAATTTACAGCTTCAACGAGAGAACGGCACCTATAGTTCTTCTTCCCCTCGGTTTGTTTACTTTTTCTTTTAAATATTTTTGTGAAAATATGGCCCCATTGTTACAGGCTCGATGTAAATTTCTGAAATCATTCAATAGTTTTATTTCATTCTTCCTGAGTCTGCAACAGGCTTTGTCGAATCCCATGCCATCCACACTTCCGTCATTGTGATCCTTTCCCGTTTCATTATAATCAACGTTCTTCGTTTCGTTTTGAGATTAACGAGTGTAAAATACATAGATACATACATAACGCTTCGGTCCCATGTTTTTGCGATTTCTTGCTGTTGTTGTTTTTCTTTGTTCTTTCTTCTATTCTGCACAATCAGATGCTTAAACAGGATTGACTCTTTCAAGTACGAACGTCGAGGATACATGTGTAGTAGTCGATGGAAGAATCACAATTGCGACGTAAATGCAACTGCCACGAAATTGAACCCCTTTATAGATCTTTCCGTAATTAATACTACATCGTGTACATACACGTTTCGACAACCTGTTCTTCTTGTTACTTTTAATATATTTTTTCTACAGCTTACGTTTTTCGTTCGCGATATATGTATATTAATAATAATAAAAAAACAACGAACTTTTAACGTAATACGATTCCTTTTAATATTTGTGCGAGAACACATTTCTTGCACTTTTATTCATCTAGGAATGCCATTGTTATTACTTCCAATTTTTATCCACGTGTATCATAAGGGCTAACAATAATTTCTCTGAGCATCATCAAAGGGTTAGTAGATCAATCTTAATCTGATCGATTTTGAAAGATTTTAAAGGAAGATCGAAAGAAATCCAGTTTACCGTTTTGTTAAAGCTCAGAGAGTCGAAATTTGTCATCTCCATTAATCATTTTACTTTATCTCTACGTTCTAGCCGCTCGTGTGCGTATGCTTTTGAGAACCGTTGTCTTGAGCAGGTAAAACTGCAGTTTAATTGGCCGTTAATCGTTTTTAATTTATGCAAAAAAGTCAAAGACTTGCCGAGGCTTCAGTCTTTCAGTCGTTAACACCAGGGATGAGAAACCTCTATTATCCTCGTGTTCGGTAAAATACAAAAGAATTATTACGCTTAAACTGCACCATATTATATAGAGAAAATGAAATATCTCTTCCAATATAATTGATGTCCAAAGAATCTGATATTAAAATATCAATGAACCTTAACGAGAAAGTGTTATTCTCGTTTATATCAATCATGATACATAGTGCGATAATACGAGTAGTGGAAGGTATTTGATCGTTAATGAACCTTACAAGGCAACGAGAAGAAGGTTACAACTAAAATTGTTATTCGAAATGTATAGACGATGAATGAGTTGATAAAGAAATTAGGTGCAAGCGATAGAAACACAACGATATTTCAACAAGAAGAGTACTTGTGTAGCAATTCTGATTGAAGTAGTTAGAAGCATCGCATGGATTCACAGAATGTTAATCACATCAGACACTTGTAAGTAGTACACCGAAATAATTGATAGTACGCGATTGTTGTTGTTCTTCTTCTTCTTCTTCTGCTTCTTGTAAAAGTCGCTGGTCAACGGTAACGCATTTTACATTTCTTACTTGCGTCGCGTCGTCGCGTCGTCGCGTCGTTGCGTATATTACGTTCTATAGCTGTTTGTATGTAGTTGTACGTATTTTTTTTATGTATGTGAGCATGCGTTGTACACGGGGGTAAGAATTGTCTCTCAAAGGCTTGTAACGATGTGTGGCTTGGCAGTGGTAGAGGCAATCTCGGACAGTCGCACATCGATGGGGATGCGATCATCGTACAAGGTCGGGGCCTGCAGGATTATTCCCGCTGTACCAACGACCACGGCTAACGTAAAAATCCAGAGGAATAACCTGTCGAGCACCATCGCGACGTACTTCCAATCTTCTTTCACCTGAACAAGGATTAACGTTCTAACGAGACTCTGATGATTTATACATATTTACAATATAATCGGTTGAAGGAAGAATTTCTATATACTCTGGTAGAGTCCTCTTCTCTTTTCGTATGGTCGGCAATGAAACGTATGCCTTCGATGGCCTTGTACAATTCTGGGCAGTGATGCCAATGATGAAGCGTGTTACAGAGAGCGTCCACGCTCTCCTCGGTTGGTAGTTGAGGTGGAGGAGCAGCTGTGGCCGCTGGGGAGCCATGAATACGGCACGCGCTTCCCAAGTTTACCGCTTCCAATTCCCTAACGAATCAATTTTTCAACAACAACAATTCATTTTTATGATAATTTTCAAATTCTTCTCTCAAGAAGCTAACAGCCACACGTACCGAGGGTGTAATTCGTCCCGCGAATCGAGACTCGGGAACAGAACGGAAGATTCAACCAGCTCCGATGCCGAGGTTTCCACGAACAAAGATGGATCTCGTAACTCGAGACCGTTGCACGTTCTAACCATTACACGTTGACCGTGATGACCAGCCATGCTACGTTTGTCTATCTGGTATTGCGGCCTGTTTCAATACCAGTCAAGAATACTACACATTATAATCAAAGAATAGAAATCCTCGATTCTACATCATAATAAAATAAGTGCTAACTATAATAAAAAATATACACAAGTATAGATATTAGATTTTAGAAACATTCTACAATAAATGTTTGAATTTTTGAAAACAATATTCATTGTTTTCTAAACTCGTAAAACTACATATTCTATATACATAGGTATGTATGTATGTATGTATGTATTTATGTACATACAATGTTAAATTAGTTATGTTACAGACGATATGATTGTTGTTACTGTAGGCAATATGGTATCGAGCATGTGGGTGACAATGATGATTTAAAATCATTAATCTATTGGACACAAGTGAACGTAGAAATCTTATCAAAGTGTAACGATGTAGTGCTGAATAAAAGTGCATACGAGTATGAACGGTATATGAAATTGTTGTACTACCGTGTTTGCATTTACAGTGGCTGGTGCAGGATTTCGATTCTTTAAACAAGAATGATGGATCATTAAACGATTCATCGGTTGGTTTTCTAGCTGTAGCAAACAAAGAAAGTGATACAGTATTACCTCTTCGATATATTAGAATAGAAATTGTATAAAATTTCTACATCGTCATCAATCTGGAACACTCTACGGACCAACTATTATACATAATATGTATGTACGTAGGAGCGAGTAGTGTAACTAAACCTGGAAGAGAGCGAGTTTAAGCAATGCTAGAAACGACGAATTGCCACTTACAATTAGAGAGGTATAAATATATGGAAATGTAAGGAAATGGTGTCGCTTAAAGAGGCAATACTGTAGTTGTGCTAATACATAGTTGCGCAGAGACGACGCGACGCGTCACGTGCAAGGGGCACTAATGAGCGTTCTAATACTGTTTGGCATAGACCCAACGACTGTTCCAAATGCTCGGTAGAATCATATCTTGCCTGGAATTGTAATCGGTTCTCTTCGAAGACGTATTATACCTGCGCATCACCAGTAGCCTTGGCAGAACATGGATAAAAACACGACGGACCCATGGTGCCATCACGTGCGTTTGTGGCGACCGGAAGTGAACATTGAGGACTACCACGGTTACGCATATACTGAAAAACAAACCTTTTTTTAGATCCGGACGATTGATTGATTGAAATCTCGCAAGTTAGTCGTTTCAAAATACGTAACAAGTAGAAGAAAAAACTTTTATGAATGGTTATACCTGAAGGTGTCTAGGATCATGGTGAAAAGGACGAATTTACCGAGAAGCGGTACCACGAGCGATGTGGGCGGGATAATTTCGGCCAGCAGAAGGAAGAACACAGTCAGCGACAGTAAAATTGAAATTGATAAGCTGACCTGCAATCAAACGATCGATCATTTCAATTAAAAAAACCAAAAAGAATAATAATAATAAAAAAAAGGAGAAATAGAAGGGAAAGAAGAATTGAGAATTGAGAATTTAGAATTTAGTATTTCGAAGCAAAGTATCCTCGAACAAAGTGAATCCGCCACAAAGAGACAAAGAAGAGCCCTCGAGATTAAGTGCGACGAACAAAATGCTTCTTTTATTCGTTCATCACACAGGATTGTATTTCGAAACGTGTTAAGGTCATCCCATTGTTTGCGATGCCTACCGAACTTTTTCTTTTCTTTTCTTTTCTTTTCTTTTTTAATTACTTTTTTATTTTATTTTAATTTTAATCAAGTACCGATCTTTGTTTTAAACGATTATAATAATCGTTCTGAAAGGTTCTCAACTTTCTATCGTTTAAAATGCACAAGAACGTATACCTATAGAGAAAGGGTTCGTTTCATGGTACAGCCAGCGTGTTTCCAGATAGACGATACGCAAATATTCCTGCATACAAACGCGATACACGTAAAGATAGGTGTGTAACGCGAGATGGAAGTTGATATTCGCAATTGATCGTTGCAGGTTTGAAATCGGTAGGCTAACGGGAAACGAGAAACGAAGAACAAAGGCCGATTCGAAGAGGGTATTATTTCCCTAGCAGATTCGGCAACTAAAGCCGAATTTATGCTTCGTTGCTATTGTCTTTTTCAAACGCGATTTCGTATATGTACCTACGTACATACCTATCAGGCTGTTGCGCTTCAAATCTTTTCCTACGTGTTTTTCTAAAGTACATTCAGCTGTTTTCAATTTGAAATAAAAGTAAGATAAAAGATATCTGCACGTACAAACGTGCGACATCGGTCTTCTTGGAATAGGTAAGATATCAAGAGTAATGAAAAAGTTGAAAGTATGTAAGGAAGAAAAATGATTAATTCTCTGTTGAAATCGAAACAAGCGTGGACGATACTTGGACATCTGACCTTCTATCCGCGAATTTTCTGTTCTCCGTTTACCCTTTTGCCTGTTTCTCTCGAGTCAGAACAATAGGAGCGAATTGTAGAGGCGTATACGGGGCGTTAAGTGGGTATCGGCTCGAGGTCAAGAGTCCACGAGGAATGAAGGCCGAACGGTATTTAGAGGCTTGCATACCGATGTTGGATTTTGATATTTCACCCTCGCCACCCTCAACCCAGCCTGGAATCCATTTTGATCGAACGAATCGGTGCTTCTCTTCCAAATTTCTTCCTCTTACCAATTGATACGTACGAAAAAATAGAAAAGACATCTCTTTTTATTAAATAAATACTTACCTTCTCGCCACTGTCGCTTGGCAGATAGAAGACCAACACGGTGAGAAACGAGATACCCATACACGGTATTATAAGATTCACAGTGTAAAACAGAGTCTTCCGTCTCATGGTGATGTTGAACGTTATGTCGAGGTAGGGCTCGTCGCAGCACGTGTAAAATTTTTCATTTCTGAATCATTTGAGAAATTAATCGTGTAGAAAATAAGCTAAACTTTCGTTTCCCGTCGAAATTGACCTGCTTACCTTACGGCTGGCACTTCGAGGATATCCCACTCGACGGAAGTGTAAAATTCCGACAGATCGACGCCGATATCGACGACGTTGCTGCCACGTATCTCATCGATGTGTCTCAAATCGACCTATCAAATAGGTGTTCAAATTATCATTATTACCATTTTAATTATTATAAGCGAATTAAAGGATATATTATATATTTTATCGCAGAGTAGACGAAGAATTGAGAGAAGAAATATCTGGAAAATTTTCACTTCAATTTATGGCCGATAAGAGGAAATAAATGATCAGTAACAGAGCAATCGACGATCCTTCGATCCCTGTCTCTTGTAGACGGTGTATCTTGGTTGGTCGTTAAAAGGATTTCGCGTAATCATCCTTCATGGAACGTCCATTCGTAGGCCACATAAAGCTGATCGATCGATCGATCGATCGATCGGTATGTACTTCTTATTAAATGAATTTGATGGATATCCCCTGTCGTTGAGCGTGATGATGTATGGACAACATTACACGCGTAATGCATTATTCATTCTTCGTTGTAGTATAGATATTTTACGCGATAACACAGAGGGTGAATCGTGTCGCGACGACAATCGTCGGAGAAATAACGAGGCGAAACGATCTTTCGGTTTGCATGCCACTTGTAGCTTCGTTATACACGTGAATTCCTTGTCTCATCGAACCAAATCAAGACTAATGACTCTTTTTTATGACGTTTTCATGACGTTTTTATGACGGTAATGAATGAAACGAGCTTTTAAATGATGGATCTTTAAAAAGTTGACTAAAGTGCTACTAAAACACTGCTGTTAAAAAAGCAGAAAGAACTAACGATAAGAAAGAATGTAAAATAAGAGGATCTCTGGTTCGTCAGAATGAAAATTCGAATTCGATCAATTCAGCTTATTGTATTCCTCTTGAAATTCTGATCCCATGATATTGAGAGAAATAAAAGGGGATTCACCTATATCTGGTAAATAGATGGCATTACAAGTGATGGAAGGTAGATGAGTAGCAGATTGAAACAATAAATATTTCCTAAAAGGCCAATTCATGAAATCTACCTTCAACGTTATAGATATTTGAAATTTCTTTTTCTAATTTTATACTTTTCATCGGCAAAGTTTCAGAGTTTCGCGTCTAATTTTTCTCCACCGCCTGGAGAACTTTGAAGACTCTTTGACATTCAGATTGTGTGCAGTACGGAGGCGTTAGTTGGAAAGTCGGAAAAGTGTGACGTAAAAGGAGAACATGATCGTTACCTGAAAGCCGTCGTAAGTCCACGAGCCAAACTTCATCACGCACGTTTGCTCGTCGAACGGAAAATATTCTACGTCAATCTCACAGGAAGACTTGTATATCGCCGGTGGCTTCCACTCGACTCTTCCCGTGTAATTTAACGTTGCCTTCGTTGCCAGAGTTACCTCGAAATTACCGTCAGCGCTACGACAATCAAACGTACAAGAAAAAAAAAATCATTCGATAGCTCATTCTGAGATTTATAAATCTGTACCGAACGGAACAAGGATAATTGAAATCTTTTGAAATCGTTGATATCATACTCGATGGTTAATGAAATTGCAGGTACATAATGGTATTTTTTTTGCAAGATAAATTTGAGAACTTCAAGATAAACAGATTATTGAAATGTTACAATTAGTAAAAATAAAATTAGAAATCTGAAATGAATATAGGTATTTACTTTAATATAGGTATCAGGTTTGTTAAATGATAATTTTATATGATAACGATAGAAAGATGAGCTTACTTGTTGTACAAAACTATATCGGGCCTCCATATATGATCGGATGGCACGTGCAACATTTCAACACCACCATATTCCTTTGGATCCCATTTTAACTTGTAATCGTACCATGACTGCAATCAAAAAAGGATACCATTTAATTACGTGGTATCAGCAAACAAACACGATGCAATTTTACCACTTTACCATTAGTTCGAATAAAAAAGTTAACATGATCGATGTTATCTACGTACATACATACGTACATACATACGTGTATACGAGAATGCCGAATGCGTACGCAAAACTTATCAAAGAAACCTTTCATTGATTAAAATCTTGCCAAAGGCTGGAACAGCTTGATAATAAGTCTTGTCGACGTGTTCCCGTAGGCGGTGAACAATAATTTCAAACAGCACCATGAGAAGTTCGAGGAGTACATACTTGGAAAACGTTGGCCGGCGCGGCGTAATACTGGACTAGTTTCAGTATACTCTTCGCGACGTTAAGCCCCTCGATAATTCTCGGCTACACTAGGGATTTGCATCTTTACACGAGGTTGCTGATAAAATCGATCGGTAAAACAACGTAAATTGAACTTTGCCAAGGAATCTCTTATTTAGCTTGGACACGTATTTAGCTTGTTATTGTAAATTTATCGAAACTCTCTATTACACATACTTTTGTAGAATTGTAGAAAATATTTGAAAAAAGAAGAAAAAGTACACGATATGGATGGATACAGATGTGTCTTACGTAATCTAACATTTGAAAGTGGGTTGCACGGTTCACCGGACTTATTTTCAGACTCTCGAGTGGAATTTCCTGGTCGATTTATGCATATGATATCTATTCGTATTTAAGGTATACACGTTCGTGAAAAAGAATGATCAATTTTTCAATTTTCTCTATAAATTACGTACCTGTTCAACCCATAGGTTCGTCGTCATGATCTGATTCTTGAGATTCTGCAAAGAAATAATAGTGAGTTGAACGATTACAGACATAATATCGATCGTTTCAAATGGTTGGTTCTACGTTACTTGTCAAATATTTTTCTTTTTTCGTATTCGAGGCTTTCATTAACGATTTCACTGGTTCAGGTCGGAGGTGACATTAATATTGGAAACTCACTACATCGATCAACTGCGAAAGTTTGAGCTTGATTTTAACGGTGAGGGCGTCTGTGACGTTGACCACTGGACGTACCAGCTTGTTGTAATTCGACAGGAGATCGTCGTACAGTCGCTTCGCGTCTGGATTTCCTGAGCATCCTGCGAAATATTAAAAGATCCTTAGTTTCCATTCAACGTTTCCATTAATCTTCTAATTGATTTCGCTGGCACGGTTTCGCAGCTATTATTTATCGTTTCGAAAGATTGTATTATCGGTGGTTTACGAGCTCCCTGGACCGATACCAGGATGGTTGGTAATACGCGTCAACCTATAGGTACGGAACAACGCTAGCAACGATTTCAATTCTGAAGCGGTGCCAGAGAATATTTATGGTACACCTTCTATGTAAAAAATTTAATTATATTTTAAACGCGTATAATAAACTACAGGAAAAGTTGATACGATATCGTTCGTAGTAAAATGAGATCGAACGAATATCGTTTAAGCGATATCGCGGTGAAATAAATCTCTACGGTATGGTATGGTATGGTACGGTGTTATTTGAAAAAGTGAACAAAAATGAAATTATTTCATCTACTAATTGTCAGAGTATAACAACGTAATGGGATATCAGAGCAGAGAAAGTGGTGCTATCGAAGTCGAGGACTTGGACGTAGTGGCCGTGGTTTAGCAATAAGAACGACCACTATATTACCTCGACGATATTGCGTTTCGCCCGAGACAGGATTGCTCGATGAGCCGGACATATCGAGAAATATTGAGCCTCGCGCGGACGTGGCAGACGTTTAAAAGACACTCGATTCGTCGTTCGAGTATATCCACTTATCCGTTGTTTATTTCGCGGAAAAAACGCCCAGCAACTTTTCCACTTGGGATCTCGTCGAATCAGAGAACACAGAGAATCGAATCGAATCGAATCAGATACCATAATATGTTGCGCGGTCCAACAAAAGTAAACTTATAGTTGGTTTAGAATTGCTTGCAATAATAATTACAGATAAACGATTCGTGTAGAAAGCGAGCGTAACTAGTGACAACGAGACAAGTGGAACGAGCACGCGTTTGGTCAGACGAGTAAAAGGCGAGTAAACCGCACCGAGCACCGAGCACCGCGCACCGCTACATCTAACTGGATAAGTAGAATGAAGTAACGTATAAACAGACGAGTGGAGTAAACCGGGCTAAGTAGAATGAGTCCGTGTTTACACGAGCAAGCGGAATGGGACGGTGCTTATACAGATAAGTGGAATGAGCCTGTGCTTCTACAGGTAAGTAAAATAGGATTACCTTCTAATGATAAGTAAAACAGAATAGCGCGTGCTCGGACAAATATCATGTGATTATGTATCTGGTCAAACAAATTTAATGCTTAAAACGTAAAACGTAAAACGTAAAACGTAAAACGTATATCTCGTTTTGACTGACAATTTTCGACAGCTAGCTATAATCGTGTGAAATTTACGGTGAAATTTACTTCCTCGTTATATTCTCGTTGACTCTATTTCCTCTAAACTCTAAACAATGTTTTAAATTACCAATAACTTGGTTGTATCAATTTCACTCTGATTCACTGTTTACTGTAACTGAAAACCAGCCATTCTGTATACTATATTTCAGTGAGAATTAATGGAAGAAATTGTAATTTATTTTACAATTCAATTATAAATGATATTGCGAAATATAATAGTTGAAATATTTTCGGTGTCTGACAAGCAAAAACGAGTAAACGTTTACGCGTCGAAAATGTTGGCGAAAAAGACTGGGTCATCGTCGGCTATTCTACACGATAAAACATTTACATCTGAATAGAATAGAAGTGAGTACATATAGTTGATGCATATGCAATAGAGTCGTTGCGCGATTATATTCGGCGGTTTATTGTCCAGAGATGATAGACTTCGTCATGGAGCTCAGCACAAATATACGAAATGGAACACGCGTTACCTGAGACCATTGCACCAATTCTGAATTGCATTCATAACATTTTTACGCTACAATGCTACAACGCTACAACGCTACAACGCTACAACGCTAAATTGTATTTGATATAATTCGAAGAAACTCGCTGCAATATTAATGAAACGCAAGCAATTGAATAATTCAATAAGTATGTATCCATAAATTCTGATCGTGAGTAAGCATCAAGCAGCAACACGACCGTCTTTAACTCGACCGATGATGTAATACCGGCGAACAGTTATTGCTGGATAGATTTATTGAACTTACCTGATATGAGCACCAACACTATCCACATGATCCCCACCAGGCTCTTCATCATGTCATTGTGTCACGTCCAACTCATTTCTTCTCGCCTTCGTGCTCTCCGGACCCTTCAGTTTTACCACTGAAACAAGAAAAACGATGTTCGATTAAGTACGCGATGCGTCTTGAATAAGTACTAACAATTAGAGCGAAATACGTTTTTCCTGATTAATGGCACGATCAGTTGTCGCGAACCAATCGAACTTGTCGTTGTGCAACCATTCCTTTGTTTAAAAATCGTAAAATCGTAAGACACATACGACAAGAGGATTCAGAAGCAAGTACAAAGCGATGATTTATGAAGCGTGTAATTGCAATTCGCAGCGAAACACCGGTACTATTTTTACACCTATGATACGTTCATGCTAGATGCGTATCAGTGATTAATTAACTTCAGTGGACATCGGTATGCTTTTTGTTCGAGCAGATAAGCGATTCAATTTTCCTTCCTGTCGGATTAATTTTATCGACGAACAAACACAGAAGCGCGATCTTTTTTTTTTCCAAGACACACCACGGGATTTGTCGGTCCGTTTATTCGTCGAATGGTCAAATAAATACTTGATTTGGAAAATTTGTAACATTTTAAACTGAATTGAGCTGAATTGAACTGAACTGAACTGAACTGAACTGAACTGAACGGTGAATAATTTTTCTCATAGAAAGATCGTCAATGGGAAAGAATAATCTCGATCGATGGTCAGTTCGGAGTAAAATTTGGAAACGAACAAACGTGCAAACGGTAATCGGTGTCCGGTTGATCCGTTTCAAGCTACCGCATCGTTCTGAGCCACGTGGACCGCAGAACTGTGGCTGCAGCGTTCGTGCGTTCACCACGGCCGCAACGTTCTATATCGTATAGCGGATACCGTGAAACTATATATGATATATGTATACACGGTACAGCAAGGTAGATCGCAACGATCCTACCAAATTTCTCGCCCACTGCGGTTTCATATTTTTTTATTTATACGCTAACATAACGCTGCAGTGACCGTTTATACACGCGTGTTGCAATGAAAAAAAAAATAAAGAGAGACACGTGTGGTTGGCGTTTTCCAACGCGTTAAATGTTCTACCATTTTTTTTTAACAGATATCTCTCGTTTCTTTTGTACCTGGCTCGGCTCGTCGTAATCCATTTGCGAATATTAAAACATATCGCGGACGAATCGTTGTAATTTCTTCTTATTTTCTTTTCCTTTGATCTACTTTGATGGTTGATAGATGTGTTTCTGCAGAGAAAGAGCTTGAAAGAAATTCAGGGAGGAAAGAGTATATGGCAGATGCATTCGAGCAAGCTGTTTTCGCCGTTTTCGCCGTTTTCGCCGTTAAAGGGTTAAAGCTCTCGTCACGCGTGGCTGACGGGACTCGAGCGAACGTAGCAGATAATTAGCCGGTCTCGAGGCACGAGTCGAGTTCGGTGCTTATCGATCGCCAACCACGTTGCAAAAATAACTTTTCCTCGCGAATCACATTTTACCCGTGATTCGTCTTCGAACAGACACGTTTTTTCCAACTTTTACCTCTTAACTTGTTTGTGTTAAACAAAATTACTCATCTATGTTAACACACCTCGTCCATGTTAATCGACAATGTTAATCCCTAGCAGAGAAACCCTTGAATAGAATTTCCTAAGGTTCTCCCCTTTATAATCGATTGATTCTAACACATTGATCTCCATTAAGGAAGTTGAACGTTTCGGTTTCAGTGTTATCCTTTGTAAACTAGCTGGTTCTAGTTTAAACATTTTCCTACCAACCAACTCGTTAGCATTCCTCTGATTCTCGGGTTCACGATTCGGTAAATCGCAAATATTCAAGAGGCATTCAACTAAAAGTGTTCCTCCGTTCGCGCTATTAAACCGTTCGGTTCACACAAACATTCCAACATTCCAAGATTCGATTTTACGCTATCTAACTATCGTTGCATCTTTCTTGTACCTATGTATTATCTCGATGAAACGATAAATGAAACGATAAATGAAACGATGCGTTTCACCCGCTAAGATCGCGGGCAACTTGTTGCTGAATAAATCCAACGGTTACCTTCATTAATTTTAATACGCTACCATTCGCTACTTTTCAAATTCAACTGGCCATTCTCTACCAACGTATTTCAACTTTTCACGATTCCTCCTCGTTTTACAACATTTTCAACGACTCGCGCCTTTTTTAAACGTTTCTTTATTTAAAACATCGTTCGCGTGGCTTTAAATAACGATTTACTTTTTCTACGCAACCTATCGAAGAAACTTTTGGTGAAATTAAAAAAGAAGAAAAAAGAAAAAAAACCGATTCTAATAATCGGCAATAATCTGCTGTAAAATGAGAATAAAACTCGATCACGAATTTACCATTAGGTAAATCGGTGAAACCTCTCGAAACCAGCTATCCGTAGTTGACCGGTGAAATAAGATTTATCAATGTAATAATAATAGCGGCGCATCGCCCTCGGGAACAATTAAATGCAGCACCATTGTACAGCCGCAGTGCGGTTAAATATTACGATTAGTCGATGCTGAAAAAGTGAAAATTTACAGATTCCTAGATCTGACATGAAAGAGACGATATAAAAGCTCTTGTCAGGTTGGAGAAAAATCTACCTGCCTATCCGACATCGCGAGAAATGCGAAGGAAAACAAACACGTACCGCATCCATTTGCCTCATGGAAAATTAATTATCATCCGTTTCTGGGAACCTACACCATGCCGTGTCTTCTCGAGTTCTCTCATCGAATAGACTAAACCTATTTTCGTCAAATTGGATTTTTAACAAGGAATTGTTTCTTGTTAGAATAACTTCATTATTTTCTTGGTTAATCGCTCGATGTTTCCAAAGAGATTAAAAATAAACTCGCAAAGCTGAAAAAGGCGCTTAACCGGGCTGCCAACTTGTAATCACGATAGCTAAACGGAATATCGACAAGTTGTGGTCGATAGACGTTTTTTTTTCTTTTTTTATACTTCGTTTCGAGACACTGATGGATGAAGGTCTTACGGCTGGAGCAATAGATCATCAGGCATCGGTCGATGAAACGATGTTCTTGCGACGATAAAACGAGTTGATTTACGATTTACCTTTTATTCGCAGGTCGTACCTGAACGCAGATCGAACATGAATTCTTATTTGAAGAGAATCGAGAGAGAGAGAGAGAGCGCCAAGGGAAAGTGAAATCTAGAACGAGACAAGGCGGTTTGTATAAGATCTAATAAACATTCTATCAATTTAACACGAAAGCAAATGAACGAAGCTGACTGACAATGAGAAAGAAAGGAAAAGATATCTCGCGGCGCGGCGCGGCGCGGCACGGAATCGAGCAACGTGAAGGAAGAAAAGAAAGGAGATCTTCTTTATTCGTGGATAATTGAATATCAGAGGACACGACAGTCAGATAGAAAAAGGCGATATTCTGTGGGAATCCTGGCATCCAGTATCCATCCTGGCCCAAGAGGAACCGATCGAAACTAGGCGATTCACGAGAGAATGCTTCTCGCCAATGGAATCAATTCAACTGCTGCGCCGCGCCGCGCCGGCTGGTTCGGTTCATGGAAAATTAAATATCCAAGCTTCTCCTCGTCCCTCTTCGTACCTTCAGAAAATTTCCACGATTCTTCCACGATAGAAAGGACGTTCTCGTCGTTATCAATGGATACCTCGACGTCTTTGAGGTGATCCATCAGGTTTACCGTAAGGATCTGCTCGATTTTTCGCTAAAAATAACGTTCACAAAGGCTATTTCAAGTGAAATTCATTCGTCTTTATCTGCTCAATCTTTTTAAATTGTCTGAAAATTCTTTGATTCGCTGGTAGAACGGTGACAGAGATGTGTGATGGACCTGTTCTTTCTCTACCATTTTCCCATTGCAGTAGATTTATGGTAGTTTGTTCAATTTCGAAGAAAAATAAGAGTGGTTTAGAGTGATTGTTCGAATCGTTGGAACTGCGATGGTTGATTTTATTTGTGGTTACTCGGTGCACTGGTCTTTTAGAGAACTCTCGATGGACGACGGAACGCTTTTCTTTCAGATATTTTTATTTCTCGAAGAAAAATAATATTTGGAATCTGTAATCTAATATTTAAACAATTATTATGGAAGAAAAACATGTTATGTCCCATAGAATACAAGAATGAAATCGTTTGGCTGGTATCAAGGTGTATCATCCGCCAGCCAATGGCGCAGAAACCTGTTCAACTGTAGAGAACGCGATAACGACGATTCTACGATATAAGAAAATCCTGCTTTGCATTCACCGACATCACCGACATCACCGACTGCTGACCAAAGAAATCGTTCCAAGCACGAAATATTCCTGACTTTCTTGATTCACTTGATTTTTTTTTACTTGATTTATCGTTAGTCGTTACACTTGTTGGAATCATTTTACCATCTTTCAAACTTCAACTTTTAAATACTGTAGAGTAAGTACACGCAAGAAGAAAATACTTATCAAGGAAAAGCTGAAAAGTTAATTCCTTTCACTGACGATGAAACGTATCCGTGCATCAGAACCCTTTTTCCAATTTCTTCCTAAAGTTCTTCCAATTTTCGCACCGCGGCGCGGTGGTTCAAAGTTGGGTGAAAAATGAATTCTATCGAAACGTTGCTTCGTTCATTTATTTGTCCGTTAGATGCAGCAATGAAAGGACGCGACAACACGATAGTAACTCCCGAGGATTTACGATTTTCCGTAAATTGAGTTTCACCAGAGGACAGTACCGCGACAGATCGCTCCAATGAAAATGGAAATGGAAAACGTCGATGATGAAAAATAGACGCAGGATGGCTTTCAACGAGAAACAAACGAACGAACGTTTCTAGCCTTCGACACAGAGGATTATAAGATACCTTGATATCTATATGTGCGCCCTCGTGAAAAATTTACCTCGCTTTTTCTTCGTTACCTGTTACTTGGGCCTCGATAACAACGTTAGTATCCGAGTGAAGAAAAAGAAAAAATAGCTTATCAAAGAAATTTGAAATATCAGCCAGTGTTATTGGTGAGAAATCACAGAGACTCGAAGATGGAAGAAGAGGAAAAGGTAAGGCAGAAATGGTCGGTCGGTTTGCAAGTAGGTCGC